CTCAGCCAGTTCCCGGGCAAACTCCTGGTCAAGCTCTTGACTTTGGGTGGGAGGTCTGTAGTAGGTAGTAGATTCCCACCATTGTGTCCCCTGTGCCGTGTTCTCCATGGATTTTAACCCAGAGGGTTTCCAGTTGTCCACCCTGGTCACCAACATCAGCTTGCAGGGGCGCGTAGCTTTCCTTAACATAGAGAGCTACACCCCCGCCCTTTTATCTACTCAGTCTCTCCTGTACAAGGTATAGCCATCTATACCCGTGGTCCAGTCATGGGTGGAGTCCCACCAGGTCTCCGTTATCCCTATGACATCGTAATTATTTGTGTTAAGCAGTAGGACGAGTTCCTCCTGTTTATTCCCCAAGCTCCTGGCATTTGTGTACAGGCATGCAAGTGTCCCCTTGGGGGCTCTTGCCTTGCCCACAGATTGTACCAGGGCTGGGGCAGGGGTGGGCTCCCTTAAGTGCCTTGGCCTGCTGGCTTTGCAAGGGTTGCTCAGCGGGCCAGCAGTAGCAGTGGTCCACCCATCCCCCGGAGGGCTTAGTTTAAAGCCCAGTGGAGCAGGTCAGTCACTCTGGCTGAGAAGAGTCTTCTCCTTGGGGGAGAGAGGTGGAGGCCATCTCTTCCCCGCAGCTCGCTGCCTGTCTCACCAAAGAGCGGGCTGTGGGTAATGACACCAGTGCCGCAGTCTTTGGTTGACTTCCTGGATCCTCCTCTCCCTCCTCAGCCCATAGCCTGAGGCTGGGAGGATCAAAGAGAACACCACCTGTGCCCCCAGACCCTTTAGCCCTGCTCCCAAATCCCTGTAGCAGCTCATGACCCAGCTGGGAGCGCTCTGAGCCATGTCATTGGTGCCCACATGAATAAGGAGCATGGGATAGTGGTCTGTGGGCTGAAGGAGCTTAGGGATCTTCTCCGCAATGTCTCGGATGCGGGCCCTCAGGAATCAGCAGACTTCCCGGGCTAAGGGGTCAGGGCGGCAGATTACCCCCTTAGTCCCCCTCAGGATGGAGTCTCCCACAACAAACACTTTGCGTTTTGTCTTGGGGAGACCGGGGGCAGTAGCTGCAGTTGAGCCTGTGTTCCCTGCAGGAGCTGGCAACTCAGCAGGCTCAGCTGGGACTGCAAGAGGTTCATACCTGTTGCTAAGCTCTGGCGGGGCAGGGGCCTTGGTGCGGCTGGCCTTAGGGCCCTTGACCACCTTGGTCCATCCCCCTGACTGGACAGAATAGGAGGTCCCGGAGTCCTCCCTGGTCCTGGAGGGAGACCGTGGTCTACCCTCTATCTCCCAGGGGAGAAGGGCCTGGCAGTAGGAGTCAATCTCCCACTCACAGTCTCTGATGGAACGCAGTCTCTGGACTGTGGCCTGGAGCTCCTCCAGCTGGCGCGCCAGAGACCCCAAAAGGGAACAGACCCCACAAGGGGAGGTAGCCATGCTCCCAGGCCTCAGAGCCTGAAAAAGGGACAGGAGGCAGCCCCCGCAGCCGAGAGCCAGCGGCTCCATCTGCGTGGAGCCTGGAACCAGGGGCTCCGTCTGGGTGACTGTCTCTGAGGTGCTGGGGTAGGGGGCGGGCCGCAGATCCCGAGGGGACCCTCGGGGTGCATCGTGTGCCCATCCGCGTCATGCCGCTGGTATGCTGGCTACAGATGAGACTGGCTTCCCTAGAGCGGGGGTGCTCAGGCAGGGCCTCAGGCCCTCCTGCGTGAACTCCGCGCTAACTCACGCACTGGCAGACAAGCACACCTGTTCGCGTGGCTCCGGTCGCGTGGCTCCCTGGGGGGCTGGGCAAAGTAGGGGCCTGAGCGGGGTGAGACTCAGCCGCTTCCTCCCACTCATACTTTAAGGCAGTTCCCTTTGTGTATTCTCAGGTATCACATCCCTTATCATTGCAAATAGAAGCGGGCTCCACAGTGATCCATAATGGGAAACTATCGTTTATTGTTCTCCATTCTAACCTCTATTGATTCTCTAGAGGTCATTTCATCATATATTTCCTCAGTAGAAGGTATACATACTTTCGGCACATCTGCCTGTACAGGCTTCACCAAACTACCTCTTTGTACAAGATCATTGTTCTTTTGAAGGTCTACAAAGTCCATATTAAGTTGCTGCCTTCCTCCTATGAGTTTCTCCAGGAAAATGTATGCAGTGAATGTTGTTCTTCTTCCCATTCAGAAAACATGTTGCCACTTCCAAATTTCAGCAGTTCCACACAGATACTTTTCAACAACGTTCTCTTAAACGTGCTTGTCAATAATCTTCTCTCAGAGTTTCATAGCATGCAACAGTTTAAAGGAGAAACCACAGCATGTGCCAATTAAAAATAAATACCCCAACATTTTTATACCATTGGGTCAGTGTTTTCTCCAACTAATATAACCAAAAAAAAGTAAAGATACCTTCCATTCCCAGCAGTTTCAGCATGTGTACTGGCACTTTATCTGGCCCAAGTACTTTTTTCATTTTTTATTTTCCTAAGTGCTTCTGTGGCTTTTTCCTACTACATACAATCAATCAAGACATAATCC